AATCATAACTTGATATTATGTTGCTCCCACATGATATATTGTTCCATGGGTGTGCAGGTAGCAGGCTTGGCAGTTGTAGCTGTTATATGTTTCACCACCAGTGCTCTTGTTGCTTTTTTGGCTAATATTCCAGTATGACTTCCTTCTTCCTCAAGCTTTGAGTTGCATTATTGAACTTAGGGTCAGGGAATCTCATTTTTCTCTAGCCTTACAATGTATGTTTATGGCAGGTTCGTTACAACTGGCAGCAACTTGACGGAAATGGTCTTCTTACTTCTGTTTTATTGATTCTATACTATTTCATAGGTATTTTTTTGTCCCTCAATTATTTGGCATTGATCTTATATATGGCAATGGTTGATTTGATTGATAATTATTTCTGAAATGACGAATCTCTGAAATGACTTGACTTAGTATTCTTGGGTAATTATGGTTATGTCACAGGTTCTTCTGTACCCTCAGCATTTCTGCTGTGGATAATGAGAGAACTACCACCACCTTTAGTGTCTAACGTACCTGAAGAATCAACGACAATTACTTTTGTTAGTGATAGTGCAGGAGTGATGCACAATCCTCAGCGATGGACTACCTCAGCAAGCTTGCAGAACCAGGTTTGCATTCTCTGTATGTACTTAACTAGCATGCCTACAAGTTGTTTATACATGTGGTAGCTGTGGCCCTTAGGGTTACATATATTCACGACAACAACAACTATTGTGTGTGCTTGAGGGTGACGCCTTATTTTTGTTAGACAAAATCTGACTAATTTGCTTGAGCTGTCAATTTCTTTTCCTTCTTCCAAACCCTGTGCTAGTGAAAGTAAAGCCCATGGATGATGCATGATACCGAAATGTTGATTGATTTGCCAGCGGGGTGAAAAGCTAGCAATACTTTCTCCTGAAGCAAGACAGAGATTGTCTGGATCAAAAAGTTCGTCCTCCTCATCAGATCACAAATTCTTGGACTGAATCGAGTTCCCATCCAGTCTGGCCCCTCTCCCTCTCTATCGCTGTGTACTTTTGATAAGTTAAAAGAGTCTTCCTGGTGAGAAAACTGAAAAGAGAAGTGCATCGACGTTTCGCTGAATCAAACGACCCTTTATCACAGCCGGAAAAGATGGATAAATCAACTTCTGCCCGTGCATGTACTGCTTGGTGTTTGGTTTGCCTTCCAAGAAGAATGTATTTAGTTCTTGTCTTAACCTGTGTTCTTCCATGCCAAAATTTGCCTGATACAAATAGGAAGGATATGGTTACTTGAGATGAGAACTGTTAAACCAGGGCAGACGGATGGGATAACTGTTGGTTTTCGAGTGCAGGTATCAAGAGCCAGTCCAATATAGTCGGAGGGGGGAAGGACTAACCTGAACTGTCTTGGTGACCGGAACTGGTGAATTGTTCTATGAAAGTTTGAACGGTGAAGTTCCATTGATGATGACAACCGAAGAAGGGGAAAGAAAGGAGATGAGGGAAAGATTAACCGTAAGGTTTTGCCGGCCAGCCATTGCTTCTGACTTCTGTATGTACATAACAGAAGGCTTTAACATTTATTTTTCACCTCTTTCTTGTTTCTCCCTCCTTCCTTCCCTCATAGTCTTATTATCCTGGATGATCCAACCTAGCTTAACCTGACATTCAGCTGCTAGCATTTTCTATAATGCTTACAGGATGCTTGTTATGATTCTTTTGAAGCAAAAAAACTTAGAGAGATGATGGTGTAACTGAATCTGGTGTTAATTCTTTGCTTCTGCTCAGTATGTTACGAGAATTTTGTTCTCTAAGAGTTGAGTTAGCCCTTTATTTCTGGCTCTGCAGCCTGCAGGGGACTTGTGTTGTGGTGGATACAGTATCCAATGGCAAGCTCAGTTGCTGTTTCTTTTCTTTTGTTACTATGATTTGGAAGACAATCAGGAAACGGAAAATCGTTTGTTTCTTATCTCGTTTTTTCTTTTGTTCAACGAAAGACTAGATTTAGATCCTGCCCGTTGGCACGATACATTATATTTGATAAACAACAATAGTAATTATTCGAGAAATTTACATTTTTATTTACTATCATAAAATACTTCAATTATTTATTACTGGAAAAATATTTAAAAAAAAGAACATGGATCATAAATTTTTGTGACAGGATAAACGATTCATCTAACTAATGTAAAAAAAAAAAAAAATCATGCATGGGAATCAGCTCTTAGAAACTTGTTCAAATCATACGTCGATTAGAAATTAATGCAAACTTTTTTTTTTTACTTGCGATTGCTTCGCATTAGCATTGTCAATTTATCATCCACACAAATAACAATGCCTTGATCTCCATTCATGACGACTCTATTTCCACAATGAGCAATATCTTCTTGTTCTCGTGCATTTTAACAAAACAAATGTTTATATTTTGGATGAGGAATTCTAATGAATCAATTGGCAATGAGTCGGGTTGGGTCGGGTTTTGCCAAACCCAAACCCAAACCTGTTAGGCCAATCATTAAGGCATATGGGAAGCCAAGCCATGACCACCAAAAAGGCCCAACAAACATTTAAGCCCAGACCCAATGGGCTCGGGGCGCGCCAAGTAGCAGTTCGAAGGCGGTCTCCCCACATTTCCAATCCGGAAGAACCGCCCGACATATTCCCAACGGAACCCTGGGTGACCGCCCGACATTTGGGTGTAACGTTCCTCTGACATCTCAGTACGGAGGCTGGCAAAGGTACGATCCTGACAGCCTCCTGAGAGCAGGTCCTCATGCGACCTTGGACGCCCGACAGAGACTTAATTGCTCTCTTCCCGATATCTGCTAGTATAAATACCAACTCATGGGTCACATTTATGGTAACTCCTATCGACTACATTCTCTCTCTTATTTACTCCACACCCACTTCTCTCTCTAACTTTAACATCATAGGAGGTCCCAGGAAACCCCCTGTGGACCTTTCTTGCAGGACTTCGAGGACCGCCTCTCACCTACGCAGGACCGCACGAAGCCAGTGAAGCCTCACATAACCGCTTGGTACGAACCAGGCATAAACAAAACCCATGGATTTATCCGTGAAAAAAACCCGGGGTAAAACCCACTGGGTTTGAAAAACTCAAGCCCAACCCAACCCGCTGGGTATCCGCGGGTTCATGGGTACCCACGGGTTTTTGTCGTAAAAAATTTACAATAACAAGTTCTATCAAAATTAAAGTCAAATATCAATCTCTCAATACAAATTATCCATATTTAAAACACCATTCTAGAAAATTCAAACAAATCACAAATTAAGTATACAAATTTGTTCAAACCAATCTAGGAAACTCAAGAAAATTCAAGCAAATAACAAATTATCCATAAATAACATGATTGATTGAAAGCTTTTTCCTCCTTGTCAATTAAGCTTCTCCACTCTACTCGATAATATCAACTTCGTTCCACACAATTAGAAGAAAAAAAAATTAGACATGTCTCCACAAATATAAAAGAAGATTAGTTGTTTAAATATTAAATATACCGTAAAAATTAATTATATGGGTGTGGGCGGGTTTAAACTCAAACCCAGCCCATTGAACAGTGAACGGGTTTAAATTCAAACCCGGCCCAAAACCCGTCAACACGAATTTTACCCGCGTTCATCGAGTTGGGTAGGGTAAGTACTCGTGAATTCGGATTTTGTTGTCATCCCTACCTCTGAGTACAAAACTCGTAACCATATATGGTTGTTGAAATGCAAATGTGTAAGTATTTCAACAACGAGCGATAGAACAGTGCAATCCTCAGCAAAGCTTGTTGGCTAAATGACAATTGAGTTTGAAACTAGAAGAAGCAAGACCCACAAAGCTTAATGGCTTAATAACATGCTTGTTATTATCGTTTTGTTTAACTCGTTTGCTGCTAAAATTTGTTTATTAAATCCATACTCGGCACGATATGAAATTATACGAAGCTAAATGATTTGTTCAGGGTCGTTTGGAAGTTGCGATAGTTGTGTTGAGATTGTCATTATGCATTTATTGTTTACAATGCATCGTTTTTTTGTTTTTTTAGCAGAAACAATACATGGATTGTTTCTGTGATGTGACAGAAACTATCACTCATTTTGAGTGATTGTTATATCTCAACTTTTAGTTGTGATTGTTGAGTAGTTGAGTTGAGATTGTTTTGTCTCAGCTTTTAGCTGATGCGACATACACAATCACACATGCCAAACGCGGTATTCTATAATGCATCAAATTCGACAATACATGTATAATATTATCAGGGTTCAAGAAGGCGTGCCTAGGCGTACGCCTAGGCTCAATTAGGCGCTAGGCGGTAGATGATTGCCTTGACTTGGCCATAGGCGTTGTAAAAGGCGCTGGTAGCTCTTAGTAGGTAGGAATAGCGCTTAGTTTGCGCCTAGTGGAGAGAAGGCGTGCCTGGGCGAGCTTAGGCGGTTAAACCCAATACTCTTCGTTTTGTCCTAGAAAATCAGAAACTTGCCTCTTGCCCTAGAAAATCAGAAACACGGAAAATCAGTAACATCTGCTGCCGCCTGCCGCCCTAGATCTTGCCCCATCTGCTACCGCCTACCGCCCTAGCTCTCGCCCCATTTGCTGCTCTCTGCCGCCGCAGGAGAAAGTCATCGATCACTCTTCTCGCCTTCACACAACTCCGCTGCTATAGTGGGAAATAAAGTCGAAACTCGTCAATTGCTGCTCCTTCCTTCTCCTCGGTACGTAGCACAAGCTTCTTGCCTCTATAAGCACCTATTAGCAGATGATTGGTCACTATTTGCTTGTTATTTGTTATGTTAAGTGTTTACTGTTAAGAACTAGGCATTGCTAATTTTATATGCACTTGGATTATATGAATTATTCCAGAAAACAGGAAATATTTGAGAATTTTTCCATTTATGCTCTGAACGCCTAGGTGCGCCTAGGCTACGCCTAATCGGGCAAGGCGCAAGTCAGGAGCCGAGCGCCTGCCTTACGCCTAGCGCCTTTTAGAACCTTGAATATTATACATGCATTCTCAACAATACATCTATTTAACAATCGCAACTTCCAAACGCTGAAGTAACCAAGGTAATTTACCAACACTGTGATTGTTCTCCTGATCCTGAAAGCGAGGAGGGATAGAGGGCCGGTTCCCGACTTCTTCTAACTCCATGCACAGACAGCTGTACTCACTTTCTAAACCGAGTTCATTACAACAACTCTTGCCCTAAACTCAGCTCTCCTCCAAATTCTCCGACTCATTCTCTACCCAAAACAAAATGGAAAAAAAAGAAATAGAAATATCTCTCCTCTAATCACTGTCACCTCACTAATTAGATGCTTAACATAATTAATCAATCTATCTACCCCCAACTAACTCATCTCTCAAACACAGCCACCTTAATTACAATTAGTAAGCACCGCCACAGTCGCTAATTACATTTTACGTAATGGCTCAATCGTCCATCATAATACTCTGCATCTCCGTCGCGGCGGCGTTCACCGTCTTCCTCCTCCTCCTCTCCGCCACCGATCATCATCGCAGCCACACTACCACGAATGTCGCTCGACGTGGTCTCGAGAATCTGCCTCACGCGCCGGCGAAGCGATTCTCTCACGTCTGCGGCTCCGACAAGGCCGCCGGCCTGGCGTTCTGCGACCGCTCGCTGCCGTACGACGTGAGGGCGGAGGATCTGGTCGCGCGGATGACGCTGGAGGAGAAGACGCAGCAGCTCGGCGACAATGCGCGTGGCGTGACGCGCCTGGGCCTCCCGCCGTACGAGTGGTGGTCGGAGGCGCTCCACGGCGTCTCCAATGTGGGCCCGGGGGTGTTTTTCGACGGCGTGGTCCCCAGCGCCACGAGCTTCCCCACCGTCATCGTCACCGCGGCGTCGTTTAACGCAACGCTATGGAAAGCCATTGGTCAGGTAAATTCATAAAATAATGTTTTTTTATTTTAGTTTCTTGATTTAACTGGATAATAATAACAATTTTGTGGATCTTGGGGTTGGAGCGCAGGCCGTGTCGACGGAGGCGAGGGCCATGTACAATTTGGGCCGGGCCGGGCTGACGTTCTGGAGCCCAACGATGAACGTGGCCCGGGATCCGAGGTGGGGCCGGACAATGGAGACACCTGGCGAGGATCCATTCGTCATCGGCACGTATGCTGCCACGTACGTGCGAGGGTTGCAGGATGTGGTCGATGAGTGTGGGGAAGTGGAGAAATCCGGGAAGGGTTCGGATTCCAGGCCTTTGAAAGTGGCGGCTTGCTGCAAGCACTACGCCGCTTATGATATGGATCATTGGCATGGAAAAAGTCGTTACCGTTTTGATGCCAGGGTACGTTTCTGAAAGAAAAGTACTTCGAAATCGCGCTTTAAAGTTTAAAAAATTTTCGTTTTTAGGTGATTACAACATAGTTGGTAACTAATTATATGATAGCGTTAAAAAGATTTATACAAATTACGTTTGTGAAGGTGAGAGAGCAAGATATGGTGGAAACATTTGTTCGACCATTCGAGATGTGCGTGAAAGACGGGGACGTGAGCAGTGTAATGTGCTCGTATAATCGGGTGAACGGAATTCCCACTTGTGCCGATCCTAAACTTCTGAACGAGACAATCAGGGGCCGGTGGAAACTCAATGGGTATCTATCTATCTATGTATGGAAGATTTGTGATTTGTTAACGAACCGTTAAGTCGATGATTAACGTTCGTATATTTTGTTATGTTTTCCCAGGTATATAGTATCGGATTGTGACGCAGTCAAGAACATCGTTGAGCATCATAAATACTTAAATGATACTCCAGAAGATGCAATGGCACAAACTCTGAAAGCAGGTTTACTTGATCGACTCTTTCACTGCATTTTTCTACTTCAGTTTCTGCATTTTCACTTCAACCAGAAATCAACTAAAAATTTTCACCCTCTCGTTTCACAGGCCTGAATTTGGACTGTGGAAACTACTTCCCTAAATACGTTGGCCAAGCAGTGCATCAAGGCAAAGTCGGCGCCAACCTCATCGACGCCTCCCTCAAATCCCTCTACGTCGTCCTCATGCGCCTCGGCTACTTCGACGGCTCGCCGGAATACAGCCACTTGGGCAAACAGCACATCTGCACGCCGGATAACACCCAACTCGCCGCCGAAGCGGCGAGGCAGGGCATCGTCCTCCTCCGAAACGACCAACACACCCTGCCTCTCGCCGCCGGCAAGACGAAGACCCTCGCCGTCGTGGGCCCGCACGCGAACGCCACGCTCGCCATGATCGGCAACTACGCGTTCGACCCCAACCGGCCGGGATTCCCCTGCCGCTACGTCTCCCCTGTTTCGGGGCTCTCATCGTACACCAAAGTCAGATACTCCCCCGGATGCGCCGGCGTCCGCTGCCCGGACAAGACCATGATCGCCCACGCAAGGAAGACAGCCAGAGCGACCGACGCGACGGTGATCGTCGCCGGAATCGACGTCTCCGTCGAGACGGAAGGGCTTGACCGGAACGATCTCCTGCTTCCCGGGTACCAAACAGAGCTCATTTCACAAATCGCGAGAGTCTCCAAAGGGCCGGTGATTCTCGTGATAATGTGCGCCGGCGGCGTGGATGTCTCGTTCGCCAAGAACGATCCCAATATCAAAGCCATCTTGTGGGCTGGGTATCCAGGGGAAGGCGGCGGGACCGCCATTGCTGACGTCATCTTCGGCCGGTACAATCCCGGTATGCATAGAACTACAGATCCATCAAATCAAGCAAGCAACGCATTCTGATTCTACAGCTAACGGCTCAATTTGTTACCTCTAATTTTGCAGGAGGGAGATTGCCGTTGACTTGGTATCCAGCAAACTACGTCGAAAAGTTGCCGATGACGTCGATGCCACTGAGACCGACCGGCCGGTTCCCCGGCCGGACTTACAAATTCTACGATGGGCCTTCCGTTTACCCATTCGGATTCGGCCTCAGCTACACGAGCTTCCTCTACAACCTGACGAAGCCCAAAAACTCCATCATCGACATGAAGATGAAGAAAAACAGAGTCGCTGCGGCAGGGTGCCACGACGTGACTTATGCCGCCGGCCGATCGCAGAAGCCGCGGTGCCCGGGAACCCTGGTGAAGAATCTGGAATGCAAAGAGAAGCTGAAGTTCGAGGTTACAGTGAAGAACGTCGGGGACACAGACGGGAGCGAAGCCGTCTTGGTTTACTCGAGACCGCCGGAAGGGATAGCGGGAGCCCATTCGAAGCAGGTGATTGGATTCCGGAGGGTGTTTGTGAGAGCTGGAGGGAGCAAGAAGGTGAAGTTTGCGGTGAATGGTTGCGACGGCTTGGGGATCGTCGATGAGGCTGCTTACAAAGTTCTGCCGTCGGGGACACACACCATCGTTGTCGGAGACAGCGGTGGCGTTACGTTCCCTGCTCAGGTGGCGTTTCACTGAGGAGGAGGGTTTTTAGTTGCCAGGAAGCAGAGTCGGATTTTGAATTTAGTTTAGAGCATAGTTAGGGAAGTTGTGTTCCGGCGGATCGGTTCTTTCCTGGTCCAAGCAAATGAATGGAAGGGTTTTCTCAGTTACACACTCCTGTAAGCAAAACAAGATCAGAATCATTAGATGATGTCTTCCTGCAGAGAAGAACCCCGTCACTTAAAGCTCTGGTTTTTGACTGTCGAGAATCAAGGTAGGTAGTAGTGTAACAGCAATATAGGCTCCCTCAATAGCAGCATTCTGGGTTCGTGCAGAAGTCCTTTCACTTAAGCCCCTCTTTGATCGATCAATCGAATGCGCTAGTTAAGTTTTTCAGCATATTCGTACATATAAACACCGATTTAATCCGATTCGAAACCAAAAAATATCAAACCATCAATCCATTCACATCGTCACAAAGTCATAGCGATGAAAAATAGTACTTTGATCAGTGCCAATTGCTGAAAGACCTAATGAGGAGGAATTGAAGAGCTGACCTCAGAGAAGCAACAAGAACTATTGCCCACAGCAGAAGTGCAGAACCTTCCAGCCAAGAGTCCAATAGCACTGTGTATGAGGTAACTACAGCCATCATAGAACCAAACTTTTTTGTCTGCACAATTAAAGAAACCACCAAATTGACCCAACAAACCTGCAAAAGAAATTGTAAACGACCTGATTGACCCATCCAACACTAACGGAAAAAAAAAAAGTGGAAACCCCAAGTTGGGTCACTACTATAAAGCACCAAAACCAGCGCGCACCTACTGAATCAACTCCATGATAGTGGAACCAGCAAATGGACACACCCAACGTGACACAAGTTTCAGCCTCCAATAGGGACCCAAAAAAGGAATGGTGGTGCTGAGAAATGCACAATTGGCAAAAAAGTGGTGCGCCACTTGCACCACCGGCCATTGGGCACTTCCACTGCACTTCAGAAAATGCAGAGAGGAAGAGAAAAGGGCCAAAATCCATGCATGCATGACAGTGAGTGATCTCCCTACCCATGTCCTAATCTCATTCCACCACATAAGGAAAGACAAACAAGGATGGGATTGCAGCATTTTACTTGAAAAAGTACACTAGACGACCAGGGAAAGAAAGTGACACAGATTTGAGAAAGCCAACATTAAAGTGATGGACAACCCACTTAAGCCACTTCATAAAAGAGTGATTTTAGCCCAACACATAGACAAAAGATACTGTGTGTACATATGCATCATTCTGGTGCTCCACTAACACCACCACACAGCTTTTCTATATAGAGGGATAGTAGGGCACTCCAAGGACAAATTTAAAAGTGGGAAGACCCATTTAGCAACTGCACATTTGTGATCTCCACGTCTCAAAACCTCCCAACCACATGATGCGGGCGACAACAATTTACTGTATACATGCCAAGATTCTGAGGGTGATGTGGAGAAGACGAGCATTATATGTTAACTAGAAGGAGAAATCAGAATCCAGGACCAAGGTGAAGCCGGTAACCGTAAAGATTGAAAATAAACAGTCAAATACTAAACATTATATAAGAGTGAGTTTAGAAGTAAATACAGTACAAGTGAGTCTGTAACAAACTGAAGAGAGATAGACAAAGCTGAATAGAGAAGTTCCCTGTGGATGGCCATCCCCAGTCTTCTTGATCAATATGGGAGTACATAAAACATAGTTTACAGAAATCATCTCAGAGACTGACCATCGGGATCATCGGCACTTAACGATACCAAACTACACGTTTATAAAAGCGGAGTGCTGCAAACCAACACAAAAGCCCCAAGGTAAGAGTGCTGTCATTATTCTGCTGCTAATGCCACACCTGCCTAAAGGAAGGCAAGAGGAGTGACTGACTGATTATACGACATTACCTGTATTAGTCTTTCAATCAAGAGGGCTAGGTTATTCGTAGTAGTCTTTCAATTTCCCCACTCCAAGCTTCTGGGCTTCAACCTTGAGCGTTTTGAGGTACTTGACTGCTTCGTCAATAATGGTGACGGTATTCATTTGCTCCCCACCAGGAACGATTCCCTTCAGTGCCTTCACCATCCTCTTCATCTTTAACTGTTTCTTCTCGCTGCTGTTGCTGCTGCTGCCCCCACCAAAAGACTTTTGAACAGATGAACAAACATTGCTACTGGAGTTGTTGTGATGGTCGTAGTTGCTACACGAATCAGGGGAGCTGCTCCCATACGTCCTCGCAGTGCTGACCTCATCTTCATCGCTTTCATAATCACCATCGTCCTCCTCATCCAAGCTTAACAGCGCATCAATATCATGAGAATCTTCCTTCCAGGATGACAACTCCTTCTCAATATCAAGGGCATCTTCTTTCCCCATAAAGCTCTCGTGGATGAAACTTGAAGGGGCATTGAAGTTGGGGGCAGAGAATTTGTGGCCAATTGCAGGGTTGAACATTATTTTACTGTGATGATCAGTTTGATCAACAATCACGAAATTCCTTGGGCAGACCTCAGATGGCTGAAATTGAACACCATAGATAGGCAACAAGTCATCTGCAGCTGGAACTAAGTTCCCAGGAAAGGAAGACGAAACTGGGAGATGCATGTAGTTGTCACCCCCTTGATTAGCAAATGGAGGCACTACCTTCGGGTTGAATCTTTGGTCTCTATGCATCAGAAACCCTTTCTTGAGCAGCAAGAATGGATCGTTTGTATGCTCTATAGGCAGGCAAGTATTTGAATTTGCAAGTGATAAACACTACTAAACTGACGAAATGGACGAAAATAGTTAATCAAGCTATCAACCTCTTTGGCTTTAGGAAAGCTGTCTATTGCAGATGAAACCCACCATCATCGAACTCCTATTATCTCCAACACCGCCCTTTTATATATGAACACTACCAGAAGGAGATTTGTCCCTAAAATCCAAATTTAACACCGGAGTCTCTGCTCTTCTATACTACGTCACAGGTTTCAACAACTGACGGAAATATTCAGCCTGCACCACCATAGGAATAGAGCAAAAGTAGAGGCATCATGGGCAATGGTTTGGGAGAATAACAAGGCATAAATAAGCTAGCAGCAATCTACCTCTCAAGAGATCAATATAACCACCAAAAGAATAAGAAGTTTTTATACTTTCATCAGTTTACAGGTCGAAATTAGTACGAAGCATACGTCAAGTGAATAACAGAGCAAAGAGCCAAACTTTGATCCAATGGAGCACAATGGTTGTACCTGACATATTTGCATCACTTGGTAATATCCAGCAACCCTAGCACTCATCTTAGTCTTCCCAACCTGCTTCACTGCACGAAGTTGTTTAACCCCCAAGTACATTATCACTCTAGAACCCACTTATGTATTCTAAGCGCGCTTGAAATCAACCAAAACTACCTGCAGCAGCAAGCGAAAACTGATGATTGATTAACAACAGAACAAGTTATATAAAACATCATGAAGATAGCAAGGAAGCAAACACCCAATCTCATAATCAAGCCCACCAAATCATACTGGAGCATCCATTACTCCAAAATAAACAAACACTATAATATAGGCAAAAACATATATGAAAACCTGCATATCCAAAGGAGTATTACGAGGTAACTTACTAGCAAAGCCGAAACGCAAAATTACAGAATCACCCGGAAAAAGACCACCAAGCGAACGCAGTTCCTGCTGTAATTCACAAAAGAAGATGTCCACGGCATGCTGCTTCCTATATACCTAAACCACAGCCACCAACCAGACAAACAAACAAACTAGCCATAATCAGCCAAAGAAAGAAAAAAGCAAGCAGAGAAGCGATTAACGATCAAAGGAAGCTCTCGCAGTGATGAATCACCGAAACCAAAGCAAGAAGCAAAAAGGCGATCATAGTTATGCAAGAAAATAAGTCTAATCGAAAGCGTAACTGAAAACGGATAGCGGAGAGTTGATAAAGCAATCAACGATCTATCTGGAAACGGGGAAAACGTACGATACGAAGGATTTTTCCCGATGAGCTGTGGGTTGCAGGAGAGCAGGAACCGCAGGCTCGAATCTAACGATCTGTTGAGAATATTTCCCTAGATTTTCGTCGGAGATCCGGAGAGAGAGAGAGAGGGTAAGGAGAACTAGAGAGAGATGGACTGCCAGGACTTGACTGTAGACTGTAGTTGTGGTTGAGTGCTTGTAGTACGAGTGGGAGTGGGAGTGGGAGTGGGAGTGGGCGAGTTTTATGCTTGAAAATTATTCCCAAAAAGGCAAAAACGGATGTAACTTCACTGATTAGATTAGTTGCATTACTTTCCAATTTCCGGGTAAAATACATTGAATGTCACTTATGTTTGAGAATTGGGGTAGTAATACGAAAGTTTTTTTTTTTTTATAAGAACCTGCGAGTCAGCTTTATTACGACGAAAGAGAGGTTACATCATCACTAGCAAGCTGATCCAACAGATTCAGCGGAGGTCTATCAAACCATACATCCGCTATATCCCATCTCGCTTTCGTATGCGCCATTATGTGAGCCGCCTCATTAGCCTTCCTACTTACATGCTGCACTTGGCCACCACCAGTCTCTGTCGCCAACCTCTTTATGTTTCTAAGAATCGTGCCCAGCTCTGTTTGGACTCTCTCCGGCGCCGCCATCCTGTTAACAACCACCTGGCAATCTGTCTCCACAATGGGTGAGGCCATCTGGTGTTGTCGAGCCAACTGAAATCCAAACTCCACCGCCATAGCTTCTCCCAGAGTTGGGTCGCGTACTCCTTTAATTCTCTTTACCGCCGCCAAAATGAAGGCGCCATTGTGATCTCTAGCCACCACACCAAGCCCTGCTCCTGTATAATCCAGACCCACGTCCGTATTGAGCTTTACCCTTCCAGCTGGTGGCCGCGCCCAAGTCTGATTCACTTGTGGAGTTGGTGAATGAAATCTCTCCTCCTGCTGGTAGCGATATTCCTCCAGGTATAGCTGCGCTCGGGGGCCTATGTCGCACTCCTCCATCTTCTTCCCATTAAAGAGGTGTGCGTTGCGCTCTCTCCATAGTGCCCATAACAGAACAATCCACTCTTCAAGTTCACTCACCGGGACTGTCTTGACTACATTTCTGACCCAATCCATGCAATTGCTATCACCTCGCAGTTCAAAACAGCGAGCCACCCCCGTCGACCGCCAAATCCTGCTCGCCCAGGAGCATTCAAAAAATGCATGGCTCTGCGTTTCGTGTTGATCGCAAAAGGGGCAAGCACCACTCCGCTCCGGATTCCTTTTATTTACCCTCTCCCCCGATGCTAGTGCCTCCCTCGTAAACCTCCACATAAACACTTTGATTTTCGGTGGCAGGTTCAGCGACCATAGCAATTTCCAAAGAGCCGGATCTCCCACACTACGAGGGTCATGCTGCTCCTGGAACCTTCTCAACCATACTTGATATCCACTCTTAGCCGTATAATTCCCATCATCATTGTCCATCCATATCAGCCTGTCTTGTTCAGTTGAGTTGCGAAGGAGGATTTGTTTAATCGCATCCACCATATCACTTGGGAAGCAACTTTCCAGGATCGTCTCATCCCATTTTTCCTCCTCCTCGTCAATCAGCTCCCGGACAACCGAGTCAACTGGGAGACCCATCGGTGGAGAATAAACTATATTGTTCGGAGTCGAGGGCAGCCACCGATCCCCCCAAATTCGGACAGCTGATCCGTGCCCAATTTTCCATCTAAGACCATCCACTAAGAACTCCTGAACGCCCATCAGACTTCTCCACACATAACTGGGCCGATAGCCAATGCGTGCCTCCAAAATATTAACATTCTTATGATACTTCGCTTTCATGATACGGGAAACTAGGGACTCGGGGCGTTGGTGGAGGTGCCATAGTTGCCGTGCTAGTAGAGCTATGTTGAAACCCTTCAAATCTCTGAAGCCCATCCCACCCTGTTCCTTCGTACATATCAGCGATTCCCTTGCTACCCACGGAGTCTTTCTCTCTTCACCTCTCTGCCCCCACCAGAAACGGGTAATTAAACTGTATCTCATCAAGAATACCATCGGGGACCTTAAAAACCGACATAGTATATGTCAGTTGGGCTTGAGCAACTGATTTTATTAAAACTTCTCTTGCAGCAGCAGACATCGATCGCTCTTTCCATCCTGCCAACTTCTTCCGGACCCGGTCTTTCAGATAGAGGAAAGAGCCTTTTTAGATCGGCCAACTTCAGTCACAAGACCTAGATACTTATCATGCTTTTCCACCACCTTCATCCCCAATAAAGAGCTCACCACTAGACGCTGATGTGTTTTCACATTCGCACCGAATGTCACCTCCGACTTTTCCAGACTGACCAGTTGGCCGGACTCTTTTTGATAATCCGCCAGCACTCTCCTCAGCTCCCGACTCTCCTTCTCTGTGGCTCTAGCAAAGAATATTGAATCATCTAAACAAATATTATATAGAGATTCTACTACAGAACCCCTTAATCACAATTTTCCAGCCTCCTGCGCAGAGAGAGGAGGGGCCTTTTGGTCCAGTTTTGTTTTTAATATACATGCACCAAGCATGTTTATCATTAACGGATGGGCTTTATTAAGTTTTGACGACGGGTAGGATTGAAACGAAATGATAGTATGAGGTATATTTTACTGAATTGGTTATATGAGGTATGAAACGAAATTATAGTAATGAGTTCTCTTTTGATTATTAAGTTAAAAACTTATATTTTACTGAATTGATTCATTTGTTAGGACTTAGACGTATAGTCCGTAAAATATAGTCCGTAAAATATAGTACAGATAAGTTATGTATAAAATTTGTACAGATATTTGACTTCGTTTCTAAACTAATGGTATGTTTAATAGTACGTCAATAGTTAGGAAAAATAAATTACTTTTTAAAAAATAAATTAATATATCTTTTATAGTTAAGTGAACAATTAAATTCATTAAATATGAATATACATGTTTAGTACAAGATCCATAAATGAAAGAAAAAAAATGAAACGGCTTAACAATAATACGATATACATATACCAAAGTTTTAAGCGAATAAAATACACACGACCATTTATACGTGTATTAAATGGAGTATTTACTAACTATGGTTAGAAGTTGACAGTTTGACTAATAATTATTGAGGTTGGTTGTGATGTTTTTTGGGAATGAAAACAGTAGGGATGCCAAACCCATATAGTATTTGCTTAGATAACCATACCCTATAAAAAATTTTCCAAGAATATTAAAACCCCTATATATCCACCCCAAACCCTACCATAATCAATATGTTTATGTGTGTTTGATAAAATTACCTATAAGCGGATAGTTACCATTCCTAGACATTAAGTTCTTTTCAATATGATTCACCAAGTTCATACAATTTACAGTTTTGGGCTCTTATAGTCCAGACCCTCACCAAGAACATAGTGCAATATGCTCATATATCCACATGCAATTAGGATGAAGTACTTTTTTGATAATTTTGGGATGCTATTGGGTGGGCTAAAAACCGAATCAGAATTATGGAAAAAAAATGCCAAATCAAAAAAGGTACTAATAAAGTTTATTTTAATTGCATTGCAATTCCCAATGCACTTTTTTATTACCGTGTTCTAATGTACATTATTTAAAATGGTTTGCTGTTAGAATTAATTATTATGTATTACATTTTTTAAAAATACATCACGTACTATAAGTTTATCAAAACTAACAGACTACAATAACATATAATACTATATAATGCTCATATGACATATACTAATAGTAATTAGGTGCCTTCTACGGTACCCCGGGTGACATCTGGGGTACCGCATACCTTGAGTATGAAAACGCTATCTTGACTTCGAATTAGTAGGATTTTTAGGCATGATACTATACCCTAACCCTTAATGAGTGAACCCTAGGTATCTAAATCATAAACTATAAACTCTAAGACGGTGCATTGATTTTTTGCCTATATTTGGACGAATCATAACCGTCGATTATTGTTACCAATTAAATTGATCTTGGAGTATAAGATTTAGAGAATTAAGATCTAGATTTTGATCTTTAAGGGTTAGAGTATAGTATCATGTCCGAAAGATCAGTCAATTCAAGTTTTGGATAGCGTTTTCTTACTCAAGGTATGCAGTATCCCAGATTTCACCCTGAGTACCGTAGAACTCCTCATAATAATTAATAGGATAAATAAAATTTATTATCCAAACATTTCGCTTAAACAAAATAATAGTTAAACCTTTTCAAAAATAAATTTATTAGCCAAACCATTAACTTTCCAAGTTTTACCACCAAGGCAATAGTCGTGCTAAGAACATATTTTGAGAGTTACACTAATATTGATTGTGAAACCAAAATTATTATTTGGTTGATGTTTTAATGCATGGTTAGTCAAAATGCAATCCCAATTGATCTCCGATCTGACAACTCAAAAGAGGAAATGGACTATTCAATAACGAGTTTCAAGAAAGTGGCTAACAATCATTCCCAACACAAATGCTATTCTTCATCTCGATATGTTAATTATTGACTCAAAGGTAACTAACTAAAACCACACAAACTCAAACTCTATCACTAAAGTTTAAAACAAATATTAATATGCCTATTTTACTTCTATAGGGTATTGATATTTGGTCGAAAATTCCCAAAGGCCAAATCAAGAACTTTCAACCGCTATTTTGTGACCAAAGAGTTTACACTATCAAGAACTATAAAGTTAATATGACAACGAGAGATTACCAGCCAATTACAAACAAATTGATCTTCAGGATTCAGTCAAACACTGAGGTTGAAACGTGTGATGATATTCCAACTATACCATCTTACAATTTCTATTTCATCAAACATGATGAGATTGAGAAGAAGTGCAAACAAAAGAAATTTCTTTCAAGTTGAAATTATTATTCTCAATTCAAATTTACTTCAATTTTATGTGTGTACAACCAAATACATTAGCTTTTAAATTTTTACATTCCACAGATGTTGTTGGCCAGCTTATTCGGTATTCTGATTTACTGACATCTCATGCTAGACTCACTGGAAAAGTTACCAGGAAACAACTCCAACTAAAACTTCTAGAGTAAGTAATTTTTGGCATTTAGTTTAAAATAACATGCATTACTTTACCTCAAATAGCAAATCTAATATACAATTTGGATACAGGGGGATTGGTCGTCAAGGTAAATTTTTTTTGGTAGAATAGTTACCCAATTAAATGTCATCCTTGCAAATGTTGGTGATCACTCACTCATCCTGGTCATTGCGTCATTATATGTCGATAAGTACAATGGTAAGGACACATATAAATTATTTTATTATCAATAAAAGCATTTGCAAAAAAAAAAAAAAAAGACAAATAATTCAAACATCACCAAATTTGCAAGCAAGAACACCTTCTGCTCAATTGGAGCAAACTTGCTGCTGGCGAATCCAAGAATTCCGCAAGTCATTAATTTTTTCCTAAGGTGAAATTTGATCTGGTATTTTTCATTGACGGAATCTACATACTAAGTGATTGGATATTTAATTTTACAAAACATTATTTATTTGTAGAATTCAAATATTACTGATGCATCAAAACAAAACATTCCCCTTAATAATTAGCAATGCATGGTACTAATACAAGCGGAAAGCTTACGTACATATTAAAATATTAAATTAGATATGCTTAACATAAAGAGATTCCAATAGATTGGTGTGTTATATTAAAAAATGGATATGAGAATGAAACTATGCTTTTCTTCTACCCACCTACCATACTTAATGAGACTATTTTCGTATTATTTATTGAATAATTTAGAGATTTTGTATTTACCACCTAAGAATAACGTATATTCAACAGTTTTAGTGTTTTTTATGTAATTTCCATCTTTATACAGATTGGGGAACAACTTTTGAGTTGCGTACAAAACAGGAGTGGCTGACTTTGTTGTTATGGATAGAGTGAGAGCTCGATTTTTTATAAAGGTCGGCAGAAAAGCTATTTCAAGACAATGATAGAATTAGAGGACCATCATCAAATGGAGGGAATGACATTGCAATTCGGCATCAAGCTCACAGATTACACAATCGCTAATCCAACAAGTGAGTACACAATTATCAATATAGAGAACGATGAGGAAGAGCATACCACCGCTGAATATTCCCGACTTGATCAAGGTAAATCTCTTTTTAAATCAAAATTATGATTAATATTAATTACAGATTTATGCTATTCTGTATTGGATTTGGATATTTATACCATGCATATTTCATACTTTATATTATTTAATCTTTAGTGATATCATGCAACGGCAGGATGAAGAGAGCTGTGGGTTTAACTAATAGAATTTGCTTGGATGAAGGGAGCTGTGGGTTTAATTAATAGAATTGGGATTTAGTTATTCAACGGTCATATTGAGCTTGCTGCAAAGTTGGAAAATACCATTTTATTTCTTTCACTGCTTGTTTGAAAATGTGGAGGATATGATATTTTACGCCTACAATTTTATCTATAATATATATTGACCAATCTCCAATAAAACCACACCATGTATTATACTTATTAGTGTCAAATATATAAATTCATAATCTCCATGCAGGAGAACAAGAATGAAACAACTAATGGTGGATGAGATGTTGGTTATGTTAAGAAGAAGAAAAAATTGTTCATAAGGATGGTATAAAGACTGGTGATGGGGAGAAAGAACAAATTCTGGAAAATGTTCGTAACTAAGGTAAATTCTACTCAATGAAAAATATGATTTGTATTTGTAAATATATTTTAACATCCAATATTTGTGCTCAATGAAATGGGAGAAAAGAAGGAAGAGATACCTGAAATCCAAGAGAAGAATGAAGAATCAATTGATATTGGAGATAAATGTGTTGCTAATGGATATGAAGACATTATTAATGGTGACAATGAGGTTGTTTTTTTTATAAGTAGGAAATGCAAACACGCAAAAAAGAAAACATGCTATAATCCCTAACAATGAGGAGTAATTAGAAGGGTCATTTTAATTGGTATTTAGGAGTCGGTTCCCTTGCGTGGAGCTTTCTTTCATTTTTGTAAAACGATTTTAGTCGATTAGTCATTACTATGTCGGAAAATAGTACAATGTTCATTATTTTGAATTGTTGAAGTATTTTAACAATTTAGATTCTCTTATTCTCCCAATCGATTTGAATTGCTACTGTTATTTGATTGATTGACAACTGAATCCGGCCAACTGGCCGGGTCTGTGACTAGTCTACAAAAAAGAGATGTGAAATAACCGGGGCACCCCTAGCAACCAAAATCCCATGGAGCTTCTTCTGTCGGACCGCAAGAGACGTATAGCACGATAAACCCTCCGCTACCAGAAGGAAGAGATATGGTGACAAAGGGTCCCCCTGTCGTAATCCCCTGCTCGGAATGAAAGTCTGTGACCTATGACCATTAACCAAAACCGCATAAGACACTGAGCGCACGCACAACATTATTAAACGAGTCCACCTATCCGCAAAACCCAGCCGCTTCATAATCCCTTCTAAGAACCACCACTCCACCCTGTCGTAGGCCTTAGCCATATCCGTCTTTGCCGCCAAATACCCCTTCTTATTCTTTGTCTTCCTCTTCATAGTATGAAAGCATTCGAAAGCTGTCATAACATTGTCTGCTATAAAACGCCCCGGGACAAAAGCACTCTGTTCCAGTGAGATGATTTTATCTAATAGTACCTTTAGTCTGTTTGCCAAGGCCTTCGATAGTATCTTATACATCACATTACATAAACTGATGGGTCTAAACTCCTTCGCCATAGTCGGATCCTTTACCTTCAGAATTAATGCCAGTAGTGTATGGTTTAAGTCTTGTGGCATCACTTCGTTCTCCACCACCCCAAGCAACAGCTGAGTAACGTCATTGCCAATAATATGCCAATACTTGAGGAAGAAAAGAACGGAAGCTCCCGGTGCTTTCCTAGTGCCCATCTGCTTAAGAGCACCGAATAGCTCCTCAGTGGCTTCAATAGCTCTTCATTCATCTCGTCCGTTACTCGGTTACCCACGGATTCCAGTACTGGGGTTATCGCCGGACGTTCACCTGCAGTGAAAAGATTAACAAAATAGTTAGTAAAACACTGTAGGGCCTCCTCCGTTCCCCGCCACCACGATCCCGATTCGTCCCGGATCTTTCGGACTGTATTTCTCCGTCTTCTTGCAGAGGCCTTGCGGTGGAAAAAATTTGTGTTCTTGTCCCCTCCCCGAAGCCAGTCCGTCCGGGACCTTTGTAGCCAATAGATTTCTTCATCACACTCCAGCTCTTCGAGTTCCCGCTGCAAAGCTTGTCTTTGCTCCAACACATCCGCCGTCTTTACTCGATGTTCTAGGGCTTTCATGGCCCTCTTAATCTTCTCCTTATGCCTTCGGAAATTCGGGAAGGTGGCTCGGCTCCAGTTAGTCAATGTTGATTGGACCCCACTCAACTTCGAAATTGCGTCACCCGGAGAAGAATTCCAAGCTTCCTGTACCTGTTCAGCGCATCCCTCATGCTTTGCCCATAGAGACTCAAATCGGAAGGACCACCCCCATTTGATCTCCTCATCTTCCTCGCCCAAAGTGTCGCAAATGATGGGACGATGATCGGACCGCAGTAAATCAAGATGAGAAACACGGGCCTGCAATTTCATGCTTCGCCACCCCTCATTTGCAAGGAAACGGTCGAGCCTCTCTTCAATATATCCTCCCGCTCTTCGGCGATTCTCCCAAGTAAATGGGTAACCTCTGAAACCCAAATCTTGTAACCCTGCCTCGCGAGACAGTCAGTAAAAGCGCCCATTTCTCTTTCCTGACCCGGACAACCACCTTGCTTCTCCGCGTCCGTCATAATGTAATTAAAATCACCCCCGCAAAGCCAAGGGCCATTCCAATATTCCTTCAGGTTATTGATGAGCTCCAAAGTTTGATGTTTCTCACCACTCTCAGGCCACCCGTAGACCCCCGTAAATCTCCAACTTCCCTCAAACCTTTCCTCTATTCTAAGATCAATGAAATGACCATCGACATTCATGACCTGTGCATTTATCTCCTCTTTCCACCATAACGAAATGCCTCTAGCTCTTCCTCCTCGCGATGTATCACACGGCCAGCTCGTCCCGAATTTAAAACCCATCTCCACCCTTGTCTTCTCGTTCTCTTCCCGAAGTTGTTTCGTTTCCATTAGAAAAACAACCTGGGGGGAAACTTGCCGCAGAAGCGACGTAATTGATCGAACTGCTCGTGTGTTTCCCAAGCCACGGCAGTTATAGCTTAATAGCCTCATTTATGACCCGAAGGGGATCGGTTCCCCGCACCCTCAGCCTGTAATTGGGATCGATGCTCCCCCGACTCTTTCCTTATAGTTTTACTCTGAGTAGCCTCACCCTTCCGATTATCTTTCTTTCCATCACCATCTCCTTGCCTCGAACTGATACTCCCCTCCAGCTTTTTGCTTTGTGACTTCGTTTGTTTTTCTGGAACCTGCACCTTCGCTATATAGGACTCCTTGTCTCTCCCTGGCATTGTCGGGCCTGAATCTGGCTTCGTCGAGTTCACCTCAGTCGAGGTTTTTGCCTCTGCATGTATATTTGTCACTTCTGCATGGGGCTGGTCACGTGGTTCCTTCCCCGCCTCTCGTTCCACTTTCCGTTGCCTCGCTACCTCATTTGCATCAGTTCCCTCCACATCCACACTCTCCTCATTCTTCCCTTCTTCCGCCAGCTCCTGGAACATATTTTTTGTAAGATTTCCCTCCAACCTCCCTCCTCTTCCTTCGTTCCTCCCCTTAAATCGGCTATGTGTTTTAGCCTTCATCCACTCACCATACGTCCGGCCCTGTGAGAGGTCTTCTCTCCCTGTAGTCTTCTCATTCATCATCCCTTCCGTCTCCATCTCTACTCCCGTAGGGTGGCAGTGACATTTACCGGTTGACTTCCCATAGGTTCCACAATCGGTACACAGATCATCTAACCCTTCATACTGTACCAAGTATGTCACCCCCTCGATTTTAAATTTTGAAATCAGAGGCTGGGTAAGATCAACCTCAACACATATCCTAGCATACTTGCCCCTAGCTCCGAATTCGGTGGCTCGATAAACTCTAACAGGTTTTCCCAACCATGCCCCAATCTTCATAACCGCTTCTTTATTGATAAGTTCTATTGGGAGCTCCGGGAGTTGCACCCAAACCATCGTTGACTTCACCTCTGTTGTCCAAGGATTAAAGCCCTTGAACCACCGGTGAACCGTCAGATAGGTATCACCCAGTAGCCAAGGCCCTCCCATGGTCGCGCCTTCATAATCCTTTTGACTCCTGAAACGAACTAGGAAGCAACCATTATTCATGTCCGAAATCTGTATCTCCCCGTTTCTTGCCCATAAAAAGTTGAGACGACAAGCTAGCGGGATATAAGGCACCCGCCGCCCGAGCCCTTTGACGACCAAAGCCGACCTCCACTCCCTACGCCATTTTATTTTCTCAGCTGCCGTAAAAGGGATCGTAGGGCATGTGGGGTCCTCATCGTCCTCTATCTCATCATCCATCTCCTTCTCCTGCATGGCCACGTCTTCAGAATCAGAATCGGCCACATACCACGTATCCTGTTGCAACACCTCGCTCCAGCTTCTCCCCTTCACTCCCTGCCAAGCTGATGCCTTCCCGCTCTCTTCCCTTTCTGCCTCCATCTCTGTATCAGTGACCCCTTCACCCTCCAACCCCGGGCCCGACATGTTCAGTGCTCGGACTCTCTTCTTTGGATGGACTGTTTCCTTAGCGCTCTTCCCGTCCGGAGTAGAGGAGCCCTCCGAGGGTCTCCTCACCCCACTAGTATTGTCTGGGGGCTTTCCCTCTCCTGTCGACGTCGACGACGGCGAGTGCGCCGCCATCGCCAGCGCAGAAAACACTAGTAGTCGCTCGGTAGTTTTTTTCTCGCAGCTCCGAAAATCTCGGACGGCTTTTTTCACACTGTCCGCCACGCGTTATGATTAGTAATACGGAAGTTAAAATAGAGTGTCAGGGAGGAATAAATTGGGTAGTAATCACCATAGTTACTAAGTGTAAATTGGGTATGAAAAAATAAATTGTATTAATTAATTTTTTTAATAAATTACATTTTTTACAGTTGCAAAAATCTATTAATTACAATTATCTCTATTTCTCTCACTTCCATAATCTTCAGCCAGATCTCCTTTCTTATTTTTTTCCATCTTTCTGCAAAAAAAAAAAAAAAAAAAATACTACCAATCCATTAGACAATCACTACCAATCGAAAAACACTTATATCATTATAGATAAAAACAAAAAATAAATACCAAAACATAAAAAAAACTACCACTACCACAACATGATAACTCTTATTAATCAATATCATTGCAAATTTCACTAATAACAATACATGAATATCACTACCAATACAATAACATCAATACAAAAAAAAATACCACTACAATAAAACAATAAATTAATACCAATCCATTAAAAAATGCTACCATTGCACAAATCACAAATACCATTCGAGAAATAAAATCACTATCATTTCACAAAACACCAATACCATTGCAGATTTGACCATAGAGCAATACATTCAAATCAATATCAATACGAGAAAAACAATATCAATGTGAATAAACACTATCACTACGAAAAAATCACTACCATTTCACAAAAGAGATACCCTTACATGATAATCAATACCAATGCGGAAAAAACAATACCAATGCGAAAAAACACTACCATTACGGGGAAAAACACTACCAATGCGAGAAAGTACATACCAATAAAAAATCAGTTGTTCTGTTCTTTCAGTCGAATTCCCCAAAAAAAAATCTTTGTCTCATTCCTCATTTTTGCGGAAGAAGAACAGAAGGAGAGAGAGAGAAGGGGATTAGATTTTAGGTATATATTAGTGGGGAGGTTCTACTGCGGAGGAAGAACAGATGGGAAGAGAGAGTGAGAGGGGATCGGGAGGGATGGCCGGCGAAGGGAGGTGGCCGGAGGGGAGAGGGATGGAGGGCGGGCAGTCGACAGCCGTCTAAAGCAGGGTTTGGCTGGAGGGAGGGAAGTGTAGAAGTAGGGTTAGGTAGTATATATAGAATAATTGGGTGTGGACGTTTTTTCGTTTCCAAAATTATCCTGACGTAATCTTAACCATGAGATTAAAAAAATAAAAATAATAGTGGACGGCAGATAATGATGCAGCCACGGTGGCTACTAGAATTTTAGTTACTACCCTAACGCATTCCGGGCGTCCGGTACCATTAATGTCGTCAAAATGTGCATCCGTCTACTTTTCCATCTAACCCAAACTTTTAATTACTCTTTTATACCCAAAACTTTGATAAACATCAAAAACTATATGTCAACAAGTTTTATCTAATATAATAATTAGAAAACCTTTTAAACATATTATTACTAGAAAGACTAATCAAAATTTGTTAATAAAATAGATAATTAGTAAAAATAATAAATGAATATTAAGAAGAATAATACATATACTAGAATATAATAAAAAATATTTAAAATTAATATTAGAATATCTATTTAAACCCAATAATTCAATTAGAAGCACCATTAGAAATAGTTAAAATAGAACCTAATCGATCATTAATATATCAAAATCAAAGAAAGATAAATGGAACATAATCAGAAAGAATTAAACATATTCCACTAATTGAAAAAAAAATTAGAACCGAAAGAGATGGAAAGTAACCAAATAATAAATAAAATATAGGTTTAATTCACCTGCATAGCCATAACTATACACATTTTGACAATAATAGCCACTTTTAAAAAAATACACAGTTATAGCCACATTTTACAAACTCGTTTGACATAATTAGCCATTTTCGTTAAAAGATTTAACACCGTTAACAAGACACTAATGTGGATGCCACCTCAGCTCTCACATCACCTCCAACACACCAAATCATGCCACCTAGCTGCCACATCATATTTAAAATAAAATAAAAATTATCATTTCAAAATTATTTCTTTTTCACTTTTCTCATCGGGCTCTCCTTCTTCCATCTCGTCCCTTTCCCATCGATGACCCCATCGTCCCCCATCGGCGCCGCCGGAGCTTCTCCCCTGCTTAGCTTCCACGTGACTGTTTCCCTTGTCACCGCCGATCTCTCCAATTTAAGACATTGTAACCGCTAAGCTAATCTCTTGCTAACCTCAACAAACCTTAATTGATCTCCAAATCTCCATCTCATTTCCGATTTTGACGAGAAACTGGGTCCATCTTCCCCTCTTTTCTTCTTGCAGAAGAAGCTCGATGAAGATGAGTCGCCGCCGCCATTCTTTCGCCGTCTTTACTTTCCCTTCTCCTTTGCAAATGAGAGGCATGGTTAATTACAGAAGGGATGGGGAAGCTGGTTCCCGACGACAACGACGGTGACCCATTAAAGGATGTTGTCATACGGGGGGACATTGGCGGCGGCCGTAGCAGCGACAATCTTCTTGGAGGAGAGGGAGAGCAATAGAAGGAGAGAGTGGGGTTGAAGATCTCACCCAGATTTTGCCAGCTAGATCTCAACCACCGCATCTGCTAAGAATCCCTAGAACAACCACAACCACTCCGATGTGATATACAGTTCAGAATTGTCGATCTGAAAATCGCCGACCCGCATCTGCTGGGAGAGAGATCTGGGAATCGCTGACCCCCTCCTCCTCCTTCCGCCACCCACCCCTTATATCTCTGTTCTCGCCTTCCCAAGTTGCCTGAGAATTTTTGAATTGGGGAATTTTTGTTCCATTGGGTTTGTATATTGGGTATTTGCGAAGAAGAGTATGACATGGCATGGGTTTGTATATTGAGGGTTTGTTCCATTGGGTTTGTATATTGAGGCGGCGACGGGGAGGGATGCTGATAGGGCAAAAGCGTATAGCTTCAATTCCTATCTCGTAGTAAACCGGAAAGTCCGGGTATCGTCTCTCAGGGACTGGTACAACCTTATATTCTATCAAATTTATGAGCAAACTATAAGTGAAAATGGTTTGAGATATAAACTAATTAAGCAAAGTAAACTTGTCGGGAGAAATTCAATGGGAGAAGCTCTGGGAGAAACACCGGGATTCACTACCTATCCTATCCAGATTAATTCACATATTCCAATCAATTTAATCCATATCTCTACAGCCAGGATATCACGAATGTGCTAGCTATCCCTGTCGGGAATTACTACGTACTAAACAATTAAATCAAATCCTACTGTCGTAGCTCAATGACCTAATTATTTAGCCTGAAGATCGATATCCTATTTAAGACCGCATAGCACCTTATT